TCCCTACACTACCCACAAAACACCTGGGGCAAGGCCCATGTCATCTGGACTATAGCCACTTAGATTCGGAAATATAAAACCACGACCAGCAGTGTTGTAATGAAGGACTATTGGTGTGAGTACCAAAGCCCATAGACATCAGCTAAAATTGCCCGAGTCAAGCAAAGACATGAGGCTCCTGGAGAAATTCACCAGGCATTGGGCAGCCTATAGGGTGGAGGTGGGGAGGTTAACTGGCGAATTTTATAAAGACCAAGGTGGGCAAGGACCCAGATTAAGGGTCATAGGACCTAAACCAGACAACTGTTCCAAAGGCTCTCCAGAGATGGACAACAGGAATTAGAGACAAGAAGGGCTAAGAGAGGGTTAGGCACTTGGTTGTGTTCACAGAGAGCAAACTCCAGAGCCACGATGGAACCCAGGCCCACCCAACTCCACATCCCACTCTCTGGTCATTCTGTTCCAGGTCACCCTCTTCTAAAAGAGCCACATGCTACCACACAGACCCAGCCAAACTGACTATGATTAGAAGACAGAGACAGCCAAGTGACAGGAGGGTCACAGAGACTCTTCACTCTGCTGCCCAGGGTCTGCTCCTCAGGCCACACTTTCGTCAGAGCAGTAAAAACAAACACCGAAGGGGGTCCCTTGCTCTTTTCTCTCTTCTGTCCGTCCTCCCTCTGGTAGACACCCTAATGAGCGGGGGCAGAGGACAGTGAAGGACTGTAGAAACCAACCAGTGGACATCTCAGCCTGTCTGGAAACCCAGGCAGCTGGGGGAGGATGGGCCTCCAGCATGAGGAATGCCACCTGCTGGGAGACCAGAGCACACAAAGCTATAGTCAGGACTTGCCCTGGCTGCTGTCCCTGACCCCAGGGCATGAAGTCTAATGCGTGGAGTAGGTGAGGGCAGAGGCTCTCATCCTGGGGCCACACAGGCTCAAGGGAATGATCCCTGGCAGCTTAGTACCCAGGGGAGAAGCCTTTTCACAGCCCCCTCAGAGGAAGGGGTATGAAAGAGCTGGGACCAGAGCCTGAGGAACAAGTAGGGCTGGAGACCAAAGAATAACTGCAGGTCTCGTTACTCAACAATATAGTAGTTAACAAGTATCGACCAGGTGCCAGCTCTGTGCTGGGTCCGAGCTAGGCAAGTAAACCAGAAGTGGTCCCTGTCCTGAAGAAGCTTTAAGGCTAGTTGGAGGGACACACAATAGACAATTAAACAAATAAATGTATACTAAGTTAAATCACATGAAATTGCCACTTTTGTAGGTCAAAATTCGTCAAAATTAAACATTTCATATGGTTCAACCTAATCAGAAGTTGTCTTAAATATTACGAAGAAAACCAAGACAGTAGTAACTAAGAATAAGGGGCCTGACTGACCCATCTAGACCAGGTGGCTGAGGAGGGTTAGGAAAGGTGATACTCAGGATAGCTGTAAATGAGAAGGAATGGGGAACCGGCACGTAGAGAGTACAAGGCAGATATCAGGACCAACTCTGCAAGGGAGTGAAAGCGGGCACTCCGAAGCTCAAAGCAGGAAGCAGTAATGTGGGAGCCTGGCAAAGAGAGGGAGGCCAGGCACACAGCTACCAACCAAGGAGGGGCACGGAAGAAGCTGAAGCTTCAGACCCTAGCCTGCAGCCCATTTCCTCAAAACCCCTAAAAATCGGCAGTCAACTGAGTACAGGAATGAAAAGTCCAGGCCTCAGCAATGTGGGCCACCAGAAGTCCTCTTCAACTATGTCAATGAGAGTCTGCCCCCATGAGGGCAAAAGACAGTTCTGAGTGAAAGCCATAACAAATAGCATGCGCTGTGAGAGACTGATTGCTCTAGTTGCTCCAAATCTTCATCCTCCTCCTATCTTCCCACTTTCCCATGTAACGCACAGGGCCCTCCCAATTCTTAGAGTTGGGTGTGTGACCTGCTTTGGCTAGCAGGATGTTAGCAAATATGAAGTCAAAGCCTGAAAAAGCATTCATGCATTTCCACGGGTGCTTCTGCCCTCTGCCATGAGAAGTAAATGCCCAGGCTAGCTTGCTAACTGCAGGAGGAGAATGAGAGAGATGAGTCACCTTGACATTCTTGCCAGGGCCATCCTAGATCAACCAACCCCAAGACATATCATCAATGCAAGTCAAGGTCAGCAGAGCCGCCTGGCTGACCACCCTAGATGACTGAACAATAGGTGCAGAAAGTTGTCTGTCGCTGAGGTTTTGTGGTTGTTACATATGGCTGTTACATAGCATTACTGTGGCAAGAGATAACTGATACGACACAGTAGGTACTCAGTATCTGTCAACCAGATAAACACATTCCAATTTCATTTCTAACAAATTAATGGTTTAATAAATTATCGATGATATAAACTATGGTACCTTCTATATAGGTTTTCTACAAAAATGTATCTTGCACTGTGAATCGACCGCTCCATCAACCGTACAGGTGACGTCTAAAAGAGAACAAAAAAATGATTCACTAACTCAGGCAAAGAGGAAGAGGTCAGGAAGGCTCAAAGAACGTCTATGCTCCCCCTGCCTATGGCCCATATTGAAAACAAGAATCAAGAGGCCAACATCAGGCTCAGCTGTGTTTCTCCCTCAGCCTAGACCCTCCCACACCCTGAAGCTCCAAGTGGCCCATGCAGCAATGCTGGGGCTGAGGGCTCAGCAGGAGAAGAGAGGTAAGGCTCAGGTGGGTTGTGGGTTTGGGGAAGGGCTAGAAAGACTGCCAAGTGCTGTCCAGCAAAATGGTGTCAAATACAAAGTATGGTGATTTCTATGAACCTAAATAAGGTGCCTTTGCTTAAGCGGTGGGATATGAATGCTTAAGGTAGAGCCCAGAGAGGGCTGTGGTTCACGTGACATTCCAAGGACTGTGCCATCAGTACCTCAAGGTCTGGCTTTCTGGAACCCCACAAAGATCTGCCAACTTTGCTGCTTCGTCACAGGGTTAGTTGGGGATCACTATGGCCCTTTGGCTTCTGGAACCCCACAAAGATCTGCCAACTTTGCTCACAGGGTTAGTTGGGGATCACTATGGCCCTTTGGAAACTGGGAAGGATTGCCAGGGTGCTCACACCCTTCAGATGGCCTTTCCCTTTGTTCACACTGCCTCGCTGGGAAGCAAGAAGGGCCCTTACCGTTGACATCAAGTGGGAAATCACTGCTCTCATTTGCCATGGCACCCATGTACCCACAGCACCCATGGGACCTGAACCAGCAAATCAGGCAGATTCAAAGCCATAACCCAGGAATTTCCCAACTCTCTCTTCCCTGTGTGGCCATCTATCCATCCAGCTTCCCCTCCAATTTTTCCATCCTTTCCTTACTTATCACTCTCCACTGCCCATTTTTTGCTATCTCCCCATCCATCCCTCTCTTTCTGCTCATCTTTCTCCCTCTGCCTCCTTCATGGGAGATTTCCTTAAACAGGACACATGTATGTCCCACTATATTCAGACATAAAAGATACAATTCAGGTTTGCAACTGGGTCCCCTCTCAGGATAGGTAGGGTAAACAAAGTGAAAAAGTACCAACCTCAGATCCTCTAACCTGTATCATTTAGACAAGACATTTGGGAAGATAGAAATTCATATGATTCTGCTCATATCTATTTTTAAGACAAAGATTTGTAGAAATGCCCAATCCTTAATCAAACCACCCAGCCAAGTTGCTGTGTCAACATAACTGGCAGTGAGGATCTCCTCCTTGGAAGCCTCCAAAGCCATTCTCTTAGGCTGTACTCATAATTCTGAACCACAGATGCCAATCAGGCTCTCCTCAGCCAGCCTTCTAAAAGACTCTGCCCCTATTCACATCCCCACTGATGGAAAAGGCCTAAGCAGCCTCTTTATGCTCCATGATCTTCCCAACACCTGACCGGCCCAGGGCTGGACCCCTGATCCAAGTTGAGCCAATCGGCTTCTTTCTCTCAAAAATGTGAACCAAGAGCCAGGCTGTGTGGAGGTTAGATAGCGTTTGTTTCTCAAACATGCAAACAAAGTATGCATTAAAATTGCCTGGAGAGCTTGATAAAACAGATTGCTGGGCCTCATCTCCAGAATTTCTGATTCAGCAGGTCCGGGACAGGGCCAGAAAATGTGCATTTCTAAGAAAATCCCAGGTGCTACTGCTGCTCCTGGTCCAGGGACAACACTTTGAGAAGAACTGAGTTAAATGGTGTTGAGCCCAGTCGTGGTCAGGTCATGAAGACTCAGGCTCACAATGGCATCATTGTAATTTCTTGGCTAGTTGAGGCTGGTGGGTGTGGGCGCTGGAGGCTGGTCCTCAGAGAGCTGCAGGAACAGAGACCTTGGCCCATGGCCCAAGACAGAGAAGGCTAAGCAGCACTGAAGGCCCAGAGAGGCCCTCTTTGCGAGGGTTCCCTTCCTGGCAATCATATACCCCTCATTTGAAGAAAATGTTAAGAGGGTTGAAACCAAGCATCTGAAAGGTACCTGAGGATGAGTGTGCCGGTCCAGCATGGTGAGCTGCACGTATGTCTGCAGTGTGAGGCCCCATCGACAGGCATCAAGGTACATCAGACCCTGAAGAAGGAAGAACACAGAAATTTACCTCAAAGTACTCTATCTGTAGAACTCTGGTCATTTTGGTCACTGATAGCCATCTCATGAAACCTATGTGGGGCTGAGTTTGGGCCAGAGATAAACCCAACATGGTCACAGGGCCCTCAAAACAGAGTGGACAGAGACAGACACTGGAGCACTTACAGGACAGTACAGTAACAGCTGTAATAGGAACCTATACAAAGTCCTTAGGAAACATTCAGTTATTGAAGAAATGTTCATTGACCCCCTGCAGTCTCTCTATCCAGCAGCTAAAGTATGCCTTTTAAGTCTACATCGGTTGTCACTTCCCTGCCTTCCAGATTTCCCATTGCATTGAGAATGAAATCCAAAGCCTTTACCAAGGCCCAAAGGTCCCCAGAGAATCACTTCCATCTTCTTTCATATCCTACCATCATTCCTCTGGCTCAGTGAGCTTCTAACCACATGAGCCTCCTTAGTGTCCCCCGAACATCCTAGCATGATCTCACTTTAGGACCCTTGCATTTGCTGTGCCTTCTATCTGAACACTCTTCCTCCAGATATTTGCATTGCTCATTCCTTCACTTTGTTTAGGTCTTTGCTCAAAGTCACTTTATCAGAAATGCCCTTCCCAGCTATTCTGTTTAAAACTGAAGCCCCACCCCATCATTCTCTACTGCCTGTAGGCACAATACACTTCACGCTCTATACTCCATCTGCTAATAATCTTACTCTGTTCTCTTCCACATTTTTGTTTTTTTTCTCTCTTGGTGCTAACTAATGAAACTCCATGCTCTGCATTGAAAACTGCAGGCTCCTAACTGTGGGTGAAAGGAAATCTCAGAAAGGTTAGGAAATTTCTTCTTGTCTGATGGCTGCAAAAGCGAACACCTTTCTTCATTAGAAAGCTGATACGGATAAAGTGATGAACTGAGACTTCTCACAAAAGTATCTATCTTGCTCTTCTGTCCAGAGTAGAAACTTGTGTAAAAGTATCTAATTTTAGTATTTTTTTACTATTAAACTGTCATTGGAAATGCTTTTTGTACCAAGGATACTCTGACTTCTGAGACTGGGACTGTATCCTGTGAAATGTCACCTCTAATCTCGAAAGACTGCAACTCTAGTTGTCTTAATCCAGCCCTGACTATTCTGTTTCCTAAAGAATGTGAAGGTTTCTGAGGTCCTTTTGTTATGCCCAAAGCGAAAGACTGGCATTCCACCTTCTCCCACATGCATACAGGTAAAAACTCTTTTCCTGTCTCTGGGATTCAGAGTTTTTGCCTTATTTAAATAACATCTTTTTACCTGCTTAGATTCGTAGCTCCTATCACCAGCTGCCATAGCACACATTTAATTGTCTTCTGCCTCCCCACACTAGAATATTAGGGCCAGGAGAGCACGAGCGAGCAAAAGTTACTGGTTGAATGAATGACTGAACAAGTGCTCAGCAATGTGCTCTGTTCTAGCAAATGAGTGAACCAAATTAGACATAGTCCCTGCTCCCAATGAAACATAAGAGTCTGAAGAACCACACAAGGAGATCCTATCTGTGTTGCTAGAATTGAAGGGACAACACAGGCTACCCCTAGTCCAAGGTTCAAACCTAGATCTGTCATTTACCAGTTGTGTGACCTCAGGCAACTTATTTCAGCTTCAGTTTTTCCTCACCTGAATAATGAAACTAATCATCCCTACATCATGGGGCAGGTGTCCAGAATCAACAGCCCTTTCTTAAGCTCCCTACTAAAAGATCCAGACTCCACCCTTCTCTTCCAAGCAGCCAGAGCAGAGCCTGCT